ACCTTGATTAGAAGGCTCCTCAGCTCCTCCTCGCTTTCGGCCATCAGAGTGGTGTCATCTGCATATCTGAGGTTGTTAATGTTTCTTCCAGCAATTTTCACCCCAGCTTTGCATTCATCAAGCCCCGCACATCGCATGATGTGTTCTGCATACAGGTTAAAAAGGTTGGGTGAGAGTATGCAGCCTTGCCGTACGCCTTTCCCAATCTTGAACCAGTCTGTTGTTCCGTGGTCAGTTCTTACTGTTGCGACTTGGTCCTTGTACAGATTCCTCAGGAGAGAGACAAGGTGGCTTGGTATGCCCATCCCTCCAAGAACTTGCCACAATTTATTATGATCCACACAGTCAAAGGCTTTAGAATAGTCAATGAAGCAGAAGTAGATGTTTTTCTGAAACTCCCTGCCTTTCTCCATTATCCAGCGGATATTGGCAATCTGGTCTCTCGTTCCTCTGCCTTTTCTAAACCCAGCTTGGTTTTCACAAAGTAAATCAAAACAAAATATTAGAACATAAAATATGGTATAAATGATAAAACACTGTCATCTCATGCATTTACAGAGCTAAATTCCACTGAGTGTAATTTAGTACTTTCATAAGTGTGGAGTATAGTCATCCTGTACAGTTTTCAGAAAGTAAATCTGTTAAGTTTCGTTTTACCTCCTTCAGTGTAGATATGTATAGAATTCTGTGTGCACTTCATGATTTTTGTTTGGGATCCTCCAAAGCAGATGGAGAGATAGAGCATATAGAAAAATCGTTGACTTTTATCATTGTGTGCCTTCAAGTTTCTGATTTATGTGTCAGAGTGATCACAGGATTTTCTTGTTCTGAGAGTGTTTGACTCGTCCAAGTGGATGTCCATGGCTGAGTGGTAACTTGATCGCTGGTCTCTAGAATCATAGTCCAATATTCAAACCACTATGCCACATCGGCTCTAATGTGTAGTTTTCTAATATTGATATAGGCCATCTTAGATACAGCAGCAGAAATGCAGGGACAATATCCTGCATTAAACTAATATAGAGTAACAATCAGCTAACACAGTTCCATGTCCCCTCATCCAGAGAAATATCAGGTAGAGGCAGAGGGCAGCTGCTGCTTGCCAATGAGGAGAAAAGTTAGGAGGCAAGTCAGATGATGAAAAAGCAGCTTCATGGAGGGGGAAAACAATAAGAGTATTCTCAAAAATAGAATGCACACAGTTTCCCTTCCCCTCAGAGTTTAAGCCAACTTCATCGCCAGCTGTAGATTGACATGTGACTGAAGCTAGGAGAGGATGGTTTGCTTCAAGGCCATCAACTATGATCATGGTAAGGGTGAGATTCAAGCCAAGGGCTTCCTGGTTTTTAGCAAAATCAGTAAGAGCTACACATAACCATGCTCTAAGTTTTCAGAGAGAATATGGCAGAATTCCAAAATATAGATTAATTCTAAAGTTGTAGTAAAAATAGCAGATTTGACACACTGTATTAAAATCATTGAGAATGTTTTTAAAAACCAAATGGAACTTATCCAAATTAAAATAGAAGTTAATAGTGGGATGCTAAAGGGATCGAGGTTAGTTATTTCAGCTTCATAAGTAATGTACCCGGAAAGACAGAATTGTGCCTTTATAAGAGATGCATTACTGGAACAGTTGAGATGTAATGAGAGAATGCTGGCCGAGTCCCTTATTGATTATGAAACAACAGTTTTATAATCCTTTAAGTGCAATGAAGAACAAAAGAAAAGCAGAAAAGGCCTTCTAAACTGTAAAAACATCTTTCCAAAACTTCAACTCTTACAGTATCCATCCTAGAAATAACCACCAATTTGGCCAGCTTATAACTAGCATGGTGAAGTATGCTGGTACTTTCACACTACTCAATTATAGTAGTACATTACAATTTTAACTGCCATAGTGGCATCCTATGGAATACTTGGGACTGAGATTTGGGAATGCTCTAGAGTTTTCTGAATAAAAGTTCTAAATGTCTTTCCCCAAATTTTCTATCCTAATATTCCATAAAATATAGCCATAGTTGTGAAAATGGAATCAGACTACACTGGCTTTAGACTGAAGAGATTAAAGTCAGTCCTCCATATTTGCAGGTTTAACTTTTCAATATTTGATTATTTGCAGATTTGTTTAATATGTTCTCTCTAGGTATTTCTAGATTTTTCAGATTCTAAATGTCTTTCCACAGAAGACATTGAAAATCCTAGAGAACACTTCTCTAGGCATTTGTAGGGCCTTTTATGTGAATCTATGGACAACTTCTTGTGCTAAAGAATCTAGAACCCTTCCACACAGTCCTATATCCCAGAATATCAATAGCACAATATTGGCTTTGAACTGGGATAGCTGAGTCCACACTGCCATATATTCCAGTTAAAAGCAGTTTTATAATCTGTGCCATCGCTGCCTGGGAATCTATAGTTCTTAGTAAAAAAAGAAAAAGGACGTGGCAACTATTTCCCAGGGGATTGCTTCTTGCCTTCCTTTAGGGAAACTGGAACTCTCGAGGATCAACAAAACGCCATAGGTAATTTGAAATAGGCTTTATTGTTCAAAGAGTTATCTTTCCAGGTAAAACGGGTGTAAAGAAGAAATACATAACAGTCTGTGCCCAAGGAGTTTTTAGCTGAGAAGCCTTCCAAGTTCCCTCCCTCTCAATGGCTATGAGGTCGAAACACTCACAACCCCAAGTCCCAATGGCCTATATTTGAAGGACAAGGCCTTCCTCTGGTGCCAAAGGAAATGGTATGAAGGCGCCTGAGACTTCCCAATGTCGTTCAGGTTGGTCTGAACATAAAGTATAAGTCTCAGGGGTAAAAAACCTAAGAATTGGTGGTAAGAAATGACATGACAGGGGCTTTGGGCCAAGCTTTACACATGTCTATCTAATGAGCCTTTTTTGCGAGGTAAAAAAGGCGAGAAAGAGATACCTTTCTTTCTCCCTTGGAAGGGGCGGAGCCTAAACAAATGAGCTGAGGAAGCAAGGCAATTGGTGTACAACAACATAGACTGACAGATGTAAATAACCAATGAAATTCAACTATTCATATACAAGGTATACAGGCATAATACAACAGTTTAAATTTTGCAACTAACAATTCTACATATGCCACACAAGCCGTCACATAATCCTTTAAGCAGAAAATGTGGGATTTTATTCAGTTGTATGTAAGGGGCCTTAGAGATTCTTAGAAAGATGTTATCTCAAGATCAAAAAGTTTTTAAATTGACAGTTTTCCTACTTTTGAGGGGGTCCTGTGCCCCTAACCTCCATGAAAGAGGAGAGCCTATTGCACTTGTATTCTTCCCCTGCAACAATCAGTTTCTTCATATACCGCTATTTAGTGGTCCTAGTGCATAGATAGCTAACACGTTGTCCCTTTTCCTCAGGAGGATGAAAATTCAGTGCAACCCTAACTAGACATGATAGAGAAGACCCAGATGGTTTGACACTAAGCTGGCTGAAGATATGCTGAATCCACTGGTGCTACTGTTATGTCTATGCCCCTGAGCTTTAGCAGGCCAGGACAGACTTTCAAGGGAGCAATTCACAAATAGCATAGTTGCCTATCAATAGTTCCTTGGGAGGTGACATGGGTATAAGAAAGCCACATTTAAAAAAATAGTAAGGAATAAGAGCAAACGTCTTTATTCGAGAAATAAGTGGTTCTAGTTACCATGCAGTGACAAATTTCTAATTTAATTCATAAATCAATTGAATTTAACTAGTTAGCTCCTAACATTGGGAAAAACCAAGACCTAGCTTTCTGCCCAACCCTCCTTTTGTGGAATTGAGAAAATAAGTGGCTCAGGTCAGTTTGCTTTCATGGTGGCACAAATGGGATTGATTCTAACTCTGAAGGCTTATGGCTGTTGGTGTGTGTTTTCAGGTTAACTACAATTTATGATAGCACCCCCCACCCCTAGAGTTCTCATGGCATGATTTATCCAAGGAGGTTTGCTGACTGTGTGTGACTTGTATATGGTCACCCAGTGTGTTTCATGATTGTGTGGAAATTTGAACATTTGTTCAACCTTTGTCTCTAAGAATCCTAACCCAACATTCAAACTGCTACACTATACTGAACCTGCTTAATCCTGACCACCTCTTAAAAGTGCAGATCACAGCCTTATATGAAAGTATAGTTGGGAAATAACGGAGGAAAATAAGCACTTATAACATGGCATGCATCTTTATCACTTCAAGAAATATGATGTAAGGATACTAATAACCATAGATTAAAACCCTTATGATTAGTACTGTCACTAGAGTCAATGTCACTGATTATGGGGAAGGGAGGTCGTCTCTGGCAGCCAGGAACCTACCAGCCTTAGGCTCTGTAATATAACTCTTCCATATCACACAGCTTTCTTTCCCCTAAAACATACCTGCCACTGGGTCCTACCATAGCCACATGAGCAGAGGAATGGTTAAGTGCTTGCCCCAGACAGAAGTCCCCTTTCCTGCCTGCCATTATACCAGGATCAGGCAGCTGCCCACCAACTTTCATTTGAAAAGTGCCATGTTGTTGTGATAGTACCTGGTTCAGCACCAGGAGCTGCAGCAGGAAAGAGGCCGCAACTGAGGGAGGCTAAGCCTGCTGGAGGAAGGGAAGGAAGTGGAGGGGAGGGGAAGCCACACACCCCACCACCACATGGAAAGGTTGGGTGGGGCAGGGAGAATGCCCTTTCTGAGCAAGACAGTAATTTTGGAATCATCCCCTGTAGTGGTCAACACCACCCGTAACCTCTTAATATCATTACCACTTGTAATAAAAGGACAGAAAGGTCTGAATGCAGTCAGTTAGTTCTAACTGGAATCATCAACTGGGGAAATAACATAGGTAAATTCGCATTCATTGGTTAATTATATTTGGAACTAGTGATCAAAATTAAGCCATAATTATTTACATTAGGAGACTACCATTTATTTTACTATGATCCTTTTATACTGCTGACTAGTTTATGAATGAATAAGTAAATTGCTTTATTTTGTATTTAGGGTAGAAGAAAGTTTTAAAACCTTATTCTGGTCCATATTTGGTTTGTCGGAGGTGATATCAGTGGTGCTGAAGTATGATCACAAGTTTATAGAAAACATTGGCTATGTGCTCTACGGCGTCTATAACGTCACCATGGTGGTTGTGCTCCTCAACATGTTAATAGCCATGATCAACAATTCCTATCAGGAAATTGAGGTGAGACAAACAAATGTAATGATATAACATAAAGTTTGCTTTAATTTATGGTTGCATTTTGCAAAAATATTCACTTTCCTGTTTTATTCTTAGCTATGGATCCAGACGAAGGAATGTGAAAATTCATCTCCACGCTATCTGTTGTGTTTATTTCATTTACAGATCATTTGTAGAAAGAAGATTTTTGGCCATTCTAATCTTTGGATCAGTTTGGGCTGCAGTTAGCATGATAGGACCCAATTTCTGGAGGCTTGTCCATTTATCATTTAAGCCATGCAGCCTATAGAAACTATTCTGAAGACAGTGAAGGAAACACATTGAGAGTAAATGCAGACAATTTTTTACACATGAAAAAGCAGATATCCCAGAAATGTCTGCATTGTCTTCCAAGCAGTCAATGCTAAAGTGCAGCAGGGAAGGCACCCTGGAAATGGACTGTGAGGCTGAATGCAGAGTGACTCCATTAGCCACTTAATGAAATGAATAGCAGAAGAAGTGACATAGGATTTTAATTCTTGTCTACTTTGCTAAAAGAGCAGCAAGTGTACCAGTAACAGCTAGGGAAGTATGTGAGATCTCTGTTTTTGCAGGGACCTTCTTAAGCAGAATTCTACATTCCCACTCTTCATTTTCCTCTATGATGTCCCTTGCAGTAATGGAGCAAGGAATAGTGTATGTGGTGCGGGAAGGGGAGGTGGTGCTAGATGTATGATACTTGACTAACCCCTTTTCCCCCAGCCCTCATTCACTGTGCATATACATATTCCCAAATTTGAAAGAAGAATCTAAAATCCAAAAAAAAAAAAACCCTAATCATCCCAAGCATTTCAGACCCAATTTGTATCTTAAATATTTCTAAAACTGTAGATTTAATTACACCTAATCAATATATAAATAAAATATTTATCTCTAAACCTTTTTGGAACGCATGATTGGATCAGAATGAGTGGCCTGAAATCTAAAGCACGCTGCCTTTTTATCATAGTGCAGATACAAAATGGGACTATCAGCAGTTAGCATGTTATATTACTGAAGGAGATAGCAACATTCAGCAAACAATAGTTTATTCAGAATATCCAAAGGTACAAGGAGCAGAAAAGAATTAAGCTGTCCCTTATATCAAAATAAACAACGCCAATCTTGCATTTTTTCCCCCATAGAGTTAAAACTGCTATTTATGCCTTGAGTTCTTTCACAATCACATAGACAGGCATTATCTTCACATAAAAATTGAGTTGTTTGAACATCATGCACTCACTGATAAAGAAACAAATTGCAAAATGTTTTGGAAATCAGATCTAATTTTATAATACTCAGCTATCAGAGAGGATATCTTCAAATACTCAACAGATTTAAGCTTGCTAAAGGAATGCATTTTTTCTTCATGAGTTTGATGCATGACTTCTTACAAAGGCAAATTAGAATTAGTCATTTCACTGAAGACTGACTTTAAGGGCAAAATGTTCTGGCAGCTGTGAAATAAGAGCAAAATCAAAAACACCCTGGTGACAATGAGATAAAGGGGATGGATCCCTGTCTTCCCAACATCTAATGCTGCCTTTTGAAAAACAAATCACTCCGTTCTTCCTTTTGCAGGAGGATGCAGATGTGGAGTGGAAGTTTGCGCGTGCAAAGCTCTGGCTCTCATATTTCGATGAGGGGAGGACTCTACCTGCTCCTTTCAACCTAGTGCCAAGCCCTAAGTCGTTTTATTATCTCATAATGAGAATTAAAATGTGCCTCATAAAGCTCTGCAAATCTAAGGCCAAAAACTGTGAAAATGATCTTGAGATGGGCATGCTGAATTCCAAGCTGCGGGTATGTCACCTGTCATTCTTTTCTTTCTTACAGTCCCCATACTCTGTTCCTCTGTTTAATTCCTCAGGTGAGTGTAAGATAGTATATGCTATTTTATCCACACAACAAATCTTTTAGGTAGTTGAGGCATGCCTATAGCGACAGATCCATCATGGTTACCCAAGGAAGAAATGGTAACCTCCTCCATGCTATAGTGATTTGACTGGCAGTTGGCTGATACTTCAACAGTAGTGCCAGGGCAGTGTCTTCCATACTTAAAGGAGTCTAGAAATTGCACGACAATCTGCATGGTACAGCTCAGTCCTCCAAGAGAGCAGAATTACTAGGAATGGAAGGGGTCTATCACTACTCTCCCTTCTTTCACAAATGCTAGTAGTTGTTTTAAGGTCAGGTAACCCAGTGAGTTTGAACCAAGGCTTTCTGGATTCTAGCATGACAATCCAGTCACTACATTGCATTGGTTAGGAAGACACTGGTATGACCTCTGTGTACAAGTAGTTGACCAAGTTAGAGCTGAATATCAGGAGGGAAAAGGACAGTAGAGACAGAAATATAATTATAACATCTGTAGAAAGGGGAAAGGGAACATGTTTTATGCAGTTGTTGTCACACATCTGAGGTTGTGACAACAACTGCAGAAATTATGCGGCTCAAAGGGCCTTATGTGTCCCTCAAGCTCATAGTGTTAGTGGCTTAATTGGTTTTAACTATGTATTTTTAATATTTCCATGTTTAATTCTATTTTAAAATTTGCATGTTTTCGGGTTTAAGTTATATATAATATTGCTTTTATTGTTAGAGCCACTTTGGGTCTCTATTTAGAGAAATAAAGCAGGGTAGAAATAACAGTTGAGTTCTCTCAAACACCTCATATTTTTTAATATAAAAAAATGAGAAAGCCATGCTCTGAGAAGCCTCCATGGCATATGACTCTCCTCATCCCCCAAACAAATAACAATACAATATACCGGTAGTTTTTAAAAAATCCCAAAACATTTTTTTTTGTTTTTCATGATAAATCTTGCGATTTGCAAACATATAACTGCCACTGAAGTCCTCCAAATTTGCCCACTCTTATGAGAATATCGTTGTACTTGGTATGATTTTATCTCTCTCTTGCCCCCTTTATTATAAATGGACTAGGTTTTAGTGTTAATTCTGACAATTGCTTTGATATTTACTATTTATTTATTTACTGTATTTATACCCCACCCTTTTCGACCTCGTAGGGGACTCAAGGCAGCTTACATATATACGCAACAATTAGATGCCAAAAACACTTATAATAAAAATATAAGCATTAAAACTATCATTAAAACATAATAAAACCTTAAAACCAATTATTTAAAATCATGCAATCTAGTATTGTAGTCCACGGCACTATTTCTCCTTTTCTTATGGGTATAATATAATATTGTAATTTTCTTTTAACATAATTTAATTCTATACTACAAATCACCTTAACATTGAACAATAGCAATACACATTTTTAAAACCCTGTAGTTATTAAAATGCTAATAAGGAAAAGCTTAAACATAATATTCTTCTACTCAGCATTTCTGCTGGTCCAGAGGTTTTGAACACATTCCCCAGAGCTTTTCAGAAAGAGCTATTTTGCTAAAACTATCAAACATGTAAAGAAGCCTTGGCTTTCCAAATGCTTCCATTCTGGCAATTTAATTTATTTACGAATAGAAAGACAAATACAAACACATGCTAAGAAACAGCATATGTGTTCAAGACTAAATTATTTTTCTTCAACAGCCCCAAGTGAAATCTGAAATCATGCTCCAACACTGTGAAAACTGGATCTATGTAGTTGTTTGAGAGTTGTGACAAAACGCACTCATATTTAACTAAGTAAGAGGCAATCTTCACAAAATGGTGATGTTTAAACAGTTTCTTATATAGTCAAAGAGTAACTAGGAGTCAAGGATAAAAGAAAACTAAGGTTTTTAGCAACTTTTATCTGCTGATCTTCGTCTTTGAGCTTGGTTTTAGATGTTTTCATAAAACCTTGTCGTTATGATGAAATGTTAAACATTTGTATGTTTCAGAAAGTTCGTTTTGAGTCAAGTATTCAAAACTCAGACTTTTCTGTGAAGAATGCCTACAACAAGCCCACAAGATATCAGGTAATTCTGTTTTCACAGAAGAAAGACATGTATGGGTGGAGTAGGAAAAGGAAAATATGTCAGGTATTCTAATGGTTACAGTTTCATTTCATATAAGCCATACTTCAATACAAAGACATGCAAAGTGTAGTCTGTAGGTCACATATATTCTCCAAGTCCATTGTTATGGAGTTCTTAGAATCCCTGCACCCCTATTTCCTCAACCTAGGTATGATGGCCCCACAGATGGCCCATAATATACTTTAAAACTTCTGCTATGTGTTATTTTGCTACATTTGTGCCAATGGAGAAATTAACCTTTTAGTCCCATAAGGTATTTTCCAAACAAAAAGTGAGAAGATAGTAACTTACTATCTATAGCAAGGCCTTTTCAATTTGATCAACCATCAAGTTGTCTTCAATCCTATATAAGGAGAAAGATGGATATTGATTGGTTGATTTAAAAGGTTCAGGCTAAAAAGCTTGAACCTGAAAATACCTTGACATTTGGTGAAATGGCTTATAAGTCCCAATGTATTCTGTGGGACTTGGGGGAGTGGGACCAAATGTTGTGGTGCCTCCCATTTTGGCAGTAGAAAATGAGGGATGGAACCCTCCATGTTCCCAGGGGAGGATCAATAAAGGCTGAAGTCCTCAGCAATTGCTCAGTTCAGCTTTAATAGAACTTCCTTCTTATCAACAATGCTTAGACTTTTAGTCTTGGTGATAAAATGACTACATTAATTAAAGAGAACAATAGCTGATTTAAAAAATTCAAAGGCACAATCTTTGGAATATGCCATGCATCGAGTCATAGCCCAAACTACCACAAAGGACCTCTTCATACAGTTCCTGGGGCCATGCCATTGTACCGACAGTCATGTGGGGTGCCTCATGGTGCCCAGAACACCCTCTCTCCTAATAATAATAATAATAATAATAATAATAATAATAATAATAATAACAACAACAACAACAGCAGCAGCAGCAACAACAACAACAACTTTATTTTTATACCCTGCCACCATCTCACCAAAGGGACTAGGGGCGGCTTACAAGAGAAGAGGCCCAAAAATACAGATTAGAACACATGCAATAAAATAAAATAAGACAAAATAAAATCAACTGCAACATCAGAAAAACATTACATCCTTCCCCCATCATATGGCATCAATGCCCTGTCCCTATCAGATAGGTCAAAGAGTGGCAACGCATGTTGCCTTTCCCCCATCATATGGAGGAAAGGGCAGAAAAATTCAGTAGGAAAGGAGCCACAAAAAACTAGTTGACTAGTTGGATAGTCTAGCAAGTCCTAACCTATAACTCCTGAATTGGTCCTCATAAATCATGCAATTCAAGGAAATGGAAAATGCAGAATCTCATTTGAAACATACCCAAAATATATTAGTCTTACAATAATTTGAGACAGAATTGCAGGGTTCTGTTTAAAATGAGCTGCGGCAAATATTCCACATGTCACCATTGATACTAGTAGAAGACCTTCTTTGGGCTCCAGGTTCAGACTAAAATACTTTATTTCTTGAGGCAAAGCAGAAAATTGCATCCAGAGAGAGCGAGACCTAGAGAGGCAGTGAGAGAAGGGAGGGAGATCTACATCAAGGTACCAAACACCTGAAACTAGTCAAATTATTTTGGCACCTGGGGCGGAAAACCCCACAAATATAACACCCTTTCTCTGTCTGTAAAAATAATACAATTGTATGTTTAAAAAATAGTAAGTTAGCTAGATTTCAATGACATCCATAATTTGCTGCCTTAGGGAGCAGGCTGACTGTTAACTGATAAAGGTGGCCCTGCTAAACTCTCTTTCACATCATTTATCATGTCTTTAAATATTTTGATCTGGCCATGTCTGTTATTTAAAAAAAAAGATATACAAGATGCTAAAACCTAAGCCCAATAGTTTCTGTGAAATTCATACTAAAACTCAGAGTGGATTCACTAACCTATTGAAATGGAAGTCACACTGCCACTGAATCAAATGACGAAATGTCATTTGAGAACAACTGGAACATTGAACAACTATCTTTTCTTTTAAAGTGCATAGAAACTGAACATTGTGATTTCACACTTGCCTACTCAGAAATTCAATAGGATTTGCTAGCAGCAAAGTGTGAATAGGATTGCAGCCAAATTATCCATGTAAACCCAGTGGGATTTACTTTGAGTAAACATCCATCAGGTTCTTAAAGTGAATCATAATGGAGATGGATTGGATGGATATAGTTAAAATACTGTGAGAGAACAAAAGACCCAGACAGCTGTTTCAAAGACTGAACCAGTTTTAAAAGTCTCTAGATCAGTGGTTCTCAAGCTGTGGGTCCCCAAATGTTTTGGCCTTCAACACCCAGAAATCCTAACAGATGGTAAACTAGCTGGGATTTCTGGGAGTTGTAGGCCAAAACACCTGGAGACCCACAGCTTGAGAACCACTGCTCTAGATGATGTCATGCCTCACCATGGAATAGCTTGATTCTCAAATTTATTCAGGAGTACATGGTTCTTTGTAGAAATGAGCCTCAGCTGAATCACAGATTTTTAACCTGATATCATTTCCAGCTCGACTGTAAAAGGTAACTTGTTAAAAACAACCAAAACACAATTTCCCCAACAACCACCCAGCTGCCATTCAACTTTTTAAAAAGCCTTTACATCTCTCAAATATTGTGGCAGCTGAATCATAAGCATACATCCTTCCATTGAATACAAGGCACTGGTATTAGAAGAAACATTACTTTATTTCTTGTTTTATTTATATCTTATATTTCTTCCAATACTCTTACCAAAGGTAGCTCACAACAAGATTAAGACTAAGACTGCAACAGTCATTAATGAAGAACATACAACCTAGGAGAGGCTGTAGCAGTTTGCTTTCACCTGAACCCATTGAAAACAGCAAAATTACACCCCTTTCCCTCCTCTTACTGAGTTAATTGAACTTGAACTATCTTTGGTTTTTGAATTCAGTTGACAGCAATTGAAGTAAGCTGAAGACTCAGAGAGAAAATGGGAGGAGGAGAAACCTGGACATTTTTAAAGCACCTGAAAAGGGTCCCTTCTACACTGCCATATAATCCAGATCATCAAAGCAGATAATCTGGATTTAATATGTCAGCGTAGAAGGGACCAAAGTGGGATGCCCCATACATACCACTCAGAATGCAGTACAACAGGTTTCAGGCATGCGAAGCACAACACAATTCTGTGTAATTTAAGAGTTTGAACATCATGGGATTTAAAAGTTAAAATACTCTGTTTTTTAAATGCCTTTAGAAATACTTCTTAAGTACTTTTTTGAAATGTAAAGATTTTCAGATAACCACTCTTTTCTCTGATCTTTTCACTGATAGCAACCTGTATTTCTTCAGCACTTAGTAGAGAAATCTCTCATCTTTGAACTCTCATCAGAGATAAGAGAATGGGTTTTCCTGCAAACCACTGTAGGAAGAAGGGGCAGGTAATGCAGAACAAAAGTAGGGTGGATGGCGAGCCCTAAAATGTGAATCTAGCTCATGAAACAAGAGTTCCCTATAACTGTTCTATGTGGATGGGATGAATGCCTTCTTCAACATTTTAGATTCATTTATTACCACAATGGAATTTCATTTAGGGGTAGCATTTATTTGATGGATAATAATAATTAAACCTGACTAGTAATGCCTTTTTAAAAGGTTGCACTCTCTACCTACCAAATCCACTGAAGTATTATAATTGTTGGGAAACTACAATAGTTTGTCTTTATTTAATGGTGCTATGCAAAAGTTGGTTTAAGGCCACGGGGGGGGGGGGGATGTTTTTGTGGCAAGACCTCTAACATAGCTCTTTCTAGATTACTGCATGGAGCTTTAAACTTCCCATTAATATGAATCCATTCTTTGCACATAACCTGCTATGGTTATTTTTGTAAAGAAAAAAATATGATGTTTTATTATTCCAGTTCTACTGGAACAGGCTGCTGTCATGCTGAGTGTTTCTGTTCTAGGTTACAGGTGGCCAGTGATCCATGATCTCTTTCTCTTCCATTTCCTTTTCCACCTATTTCCACCCATCTCTCTCTTTTGCATTCTGTAGCCATTAAGGCCCTTTCTATATTGCCATATAAAATCCAGATTATCTGATTTGAACTGGATTATATGGCAGTGTGGATTCATATAACCCAGTTCAAAGCAAATAATGCTGATTATCTGATTTGATAATCTGGATTATATGGCAGTGCCTTTGAACACTGAGTACATTGGACTATTTGAAGAACTTTCTCGTAGAAGATTTGGGGAGAGGGTTACTCAGGGGTGTAGCTACCAGGAGTGGAGGGGGGGCGGGAGTGAAGGCATTGCAGTCCAAATAAAAAATTTGCCCTCACATGAAAATGTCCTTCAGTCTGCAAAAGTACTGTAGAGAGACACTGAAAATAATTCACACTAGGGTCCCTTCTATGCTGCCATGTAACCCAGAGTATCAAAACAGATAATCCACATTATCTTCTTTGAACTGGATTATCTGAGTTTACAGTGCCATATAATCCTGTTCAAAACAGATAATCTGGATTTTATATAGCAATGTAGAGGAGGCCTTAGCACTCTTATAATTGCTAAATCCACATTCCCTTGACAAATTTCCCAGCCCCCTTTTTGAAAAAGAAAACTTTTAAGTTAATGAGCTGCTAGAAACTTGGAGACTGAAGAAAATTTTCATGTAGAGGCAGTAATCATATTTGAGGGACAAAGCCTTAATTTTGCTCCACTCTGAACCCCTGTGTTTACTTCTGTGTATCCTGAATTCCTCAGAACATACTAATTCATTGGAGTTAACCAGAACTCAGACAACGGGCAAATAAACCTAGCTAAAATTGCATACTGTGTTCACAAAACTGTTTTTATAATGCAGTAAAATTGTGTTATATTACATTACACTTGCCTTCATTTGTTTTTAATTACAGGCAGTCCACAAGTTACAAACTAGATAGGTTCTGTAGGTTTGTTCTTAAGTTGAATTTGTGTGTAAATTGGGACAGGTACATTTTAAAGTGTAATTCGAGCCATAGTGCAAGCTTTGGATAGCAAACCCCTGTGGTGTTTGTTTTACTGTCTGTGCTTCTGTTCAGAAGATTTCGTCTCACTTTCTGTCCCTGTGATAATTGGATTTTGATACATTCAGCTTGTTGTGGAAATAAGGATTAACCTTAAGTGGAGATCCCTTTGCACCATGATTACTCTCTAGGGAATAAATTTCCCTTCCAAGAGGTAGATTTCTCTCACTTCCTGTTGTTTCACCTCCGTTTTTAACTATGAGTCATGTATAAGTTCGATGTTTGCTACTCAGGAACTTCCAATACTGTATTTAAATATTAATATCAATATAGAGTTTATGATATAGTATAGTATGATGTGTAGTTTGGGTTAGACCTATTTTTAATAGTAACTCTCAAGCAACCAGAAAATACATTTATCTGGCATCTACCAATTGCCATAGGTATGAATTGACTAATGGTCTACTGCACTTCTTTATCAGTGGCCTTATTTTGACTGCAAACATAGCAGCACTCACAGGATGAACTTGCTATGAAAAGTATTGCTTTTCATGTTTTAGGATTCATAGTCCTCTCTGTTATCCAGAGTTTGAGTGGGAAATACTACTGGTCATATTCAGGGCTGGCCTTACTGATATAGAGCTTCTTGTCCTGACATAGAGTACAACCCTAACTTGCTAAGATAACCAAGGGCCAGCTTGACTTCCCACTTGGCCAATTGAAAGCATGCTGGATCCAGCCCTTCCAACACTAGGAATTTTAGAAATGATGGGGCCAGTTTGATGGCTGTGCCCTTGCACTGAAAAGATGCAAACATCTCAAGATGCTTAGTTGTCCTATGTCATGCTCTGCAAATCTTTGCACTAGTTGCTGTGCGAGGATTTGCAGAATAATGGCACCACTGTACTTTCTTCATTGGACATGTCTCTGGCTTCATCCCAGCATTGATTTATTCTTCTCTATTTCTACCCATCAGAGTTGCTTCTGAAGGCAAAAAAGATGAGAGAAATCTTCCCCCTAAGACTCAAACTTTGACAGACTTTGTATTTCTAGGTGCAAAGATTACTGCAGATGCAGACTGTGGCCAGGAAATCAGAAGACACTTACTTCTTGGAAGGAGAGCAATGTCCAATCTCGATAAAATAGTAAAGAGTAGAGACATCACACTGGCAACAAAGATCCGCATAGTCAAAGCCATGGTATTCCCTGTAGTAACCTACGGATGTGAGAGATCGATGCTTTTGAGCTGTGGTGTTGGAGGAAAGTGCTGAGAGTGCCTTGGACTGCGAGAAGATCCAACCAGTCCATCCTCCAGGAAATAAAGGCCCGACTGCTCACTGGAGGGAAGGATACTAGAGACAAAGTTGAAGTACTTTGGCCACATCATGAGGAGACAGAAAGCCTAGAGAAGACAATTATGCTGGGGAAAGTGAAGGCAAAAGGAAGAGGGGCCGACCAAGGGCAAGATGGATGGATGGCATCCTTGAAGTGACTGGACTGACCTTGAAGGAGCTGGGGGTGGTGACGGCCGACAGGGAGCTCTGGCGTGGGCTGGTCCATGAGGTCACGAAGAGTCAGAGACGACTGAACGAATGAACAACAAGAAGACGAAGAAGACTCAAACTGTTAACATTAAAACAATGAACAGTGGCATTATCTATACATCTGCTCTTCTTTACAAAGTTTACAAAGATTTTCCAAACTAAAAAAAAAACCTGCATGAATTTATGTGAATCCCATTATTGGAGGGAAATGCAAGATATAAATGAATAAAATAATATTAAATATAAATAAATTAATAATCATTTTCAAAAGAGAGCAATTAGGGCTGTCTAGAAGGGCAGAGGGTAGCATACTATAGGAGCCACAGGTAAATATAAAAACCGTGGTGGAAATAGATGAAATCAGAGGGGTTTTTTTCTTGCTTTTCTTATGATATTCTTGCCAAGCTCAACTCCAACAGATATATTATTTAAAATGTCAGCTTTTTCCATGGAGAGAAATAATATTACAATCATAATAATAAAAAGGAAGCCAAAGGCTACAGTCTAATGTACTTCAATGAAAACTGTACAAAAAATTACTAATATGTTTTTCTACTCAACACTGTCTAGTTAGGTGATGCATCTCTGTCATATAACAGTTAATGAATGTACTAAAATATTGGCACTATGATTCCAAAATGAAATTTATAGTAAGAGAACAACAGAATGTTGTTTCACTCCAGTCATCTCCTGATAATCATCCCCAAACCAGTATCTCTATGAATATATATCTGTAAAGAAAAGAATTTCCCCAGTATTTAACATTTTTGTATTTATAACTTCTTAATGTGAAATATTGAAAGCATATTTCTTTTTCTCAGTAGAGGGGTACCAGTTTTGGTATGGAACATAAAAACAAGTTATGGGACAAACAAACATATAGTGCATGATTTCTCCTGGTAGTCCTGATAGCTTCTTGCAGAGGTATCTCAGTAGCAGGTTCCTGTTCAGCCTTGGACTGTATGCTTTCTTCTTCCTAGAAACAATGTAACAGAAAACATTATACTTTGTAATATGTACTATGTGAGACAAGTCACCTCTTGAATTATGATAACCCCATGAATTTAACAGAGGTTTCTTAGGCAAGGAATACCTAGCAGTAGTTTTGCCAATTCCTTTCTCTGAAATATGGCTGATAATGCCTGGTATTTATTTACAGTTCCCCATCAAAGTCCTAACCAGGGTTGACTTGCTTAGCTTCCATGATCAGATGGGATCTGGTGCCTTTAGAGCATTTTGATAAACTTACGATATTTGTTGTTGTTGTGTGCCTTCCAATCTATGCAGCCCTAAGGCAAATCTATCATAGAATTTTCTTGGCAATACTTGTTTGGAGAAGGGTTGCCTCCTCTGAGACTGAAAGAATGAAACTTGCCCAGAGGTCACCCACTGTGTTTCTATGCCCAAGCAGGGATTATTCAAATTCTAATTTCTAGAATTGTAATCTAATATTCAAACCACTGCACCATATGGTCTCTCCATATAACAACAACAACAACAACAACAACAATAACCCGCTTCTACTAATGGCTCGAGGTGAGTTACAGCATATCTGAGCAAAACAACTGCTTGCATTTTGTTTTTCAATTATGAAATTTTAGTTTGTTCCTGTGGTTTATTTATCGCAGTCTTCATAAATCATAAAGTATATTCCATTCTAGGGTGGGAGATAAACAGCAAAGGCAAAGGAACTATAACATAATGCAAAAAGAAAAGAATTGCAAGTCGGATGTTTTTCTTGTTTTTGAAGAAAATAGGAATTTGCAGAACAACATTCTGTTTCACACAGTACAAGGCACCAGTGTTCATTTTTATTAGAGATCTACAGTTACTACATAGACAAATGCAGGCTAAGTAGCCAAAAACAAAGTAGATGACTTTCTTTCTACTGTGACCCCCACTGGACTTCTGCTCTTCATGAATGAAAGATGCTGACATATGCCTATTATTATTTAATAGAAGTCAACTAATGGGTAATCCCACAATGGTCTAATTACTACAAGAATTCTGCTACATCCCATGTTGATGGGAATGATATTTCTATTTTCCCACTGGAAACTTTTGTCCAATCCACATTACTAAAGGCACCCTAAATACTCTGAAGACACCAAACTCATCTGGTCGTAGGAGGCTTAACTTGAAAGCTGAGCTTTGGCTAGTCCTGGTTAGCACTGTAATTGGATGGAGACAAGGAATGTCAAATGGTCTGGTCTATAGTTTAAAGGCAGGTAATGACAAATCACAACCCTATGAAATTCATGGGGTCACAAGTCAATAGACAACTTGAGGGCAAATGAATTCACACCCATACACACATACACTTACAGAAAGAACTCCCGATCCTTGACTGAATCATACCAAGTGCTTCGGAAATCCATGCAAGATGGATTTGAGAGATGCAATACCTAACAGACCTAGAAAATGGGGCTAAATAATGTGTTTACTGTATAAATAAGAATTTCTTCACCATGTTTTTCTCCTTAACATAATATAGACAAATATGAAGAGGGCAGAATGCAAAGTTGTGTAGAATAAGGAATTGTATACTCTTCCCTCACCCTCTATGAGCACAGTCATGCCATTTCAAGCTTGCTATATGAAATTGAGAAAGCTTGAATAGAGTCCTTCATGAGTTGAACTCTCATCCCTACTCATGTTTACAGTATATCTTCTTCTGGCTGGATACCTGGACAGGACCTCTCTATGCAAGCAATAATGTACTTGTAACTAACTATGCTTCTAAGACATTGTTTCTCATAATTAGCCAAGACACCTTAGGAAGGGAAATAGATTGGTCAAAGGCAACAATGAATTGTTGATCAGAAATTACAGATATCCCTGAATATGTAAGAATAGTTTATTTCAAGTGTTCTATTTAAAGTAATACAATCCAAACATTTAATGCCAACAATGTGGGTAAATGTTATAATAACAAGGATACCAAATACAAACCATACAACCATTTTAAAGTTTTCCAGCAAGCATTACAGCAAAAGATGCATAAAGGTGTAACAAATGACAAGTCCTTGCATGCTCAGTCCTTGTTTTGCTTCCCCCTCTGTCCCTGTTAATCTCTTCTTCCATAATACGATTTCTTTTTGGACTGAGTTATATCCCCACTTTCCCAAAATATGTTCATCAATTTGTATTTTCCCAGGTAGCAACACTACTTCCCAATGGATTCTACCACCATGGCCATCTCCAGCATATAGTATGTGTATTGTACCTCATGTATTCTTCTGGAAGTAATCCTGCCTCTCATCTACACGCAATATGCCATATAATATATGCATAATATACATCATGAGCATCTCTCATCTGCATAATATATATCAGGGCCAGCCCTGCCAATAAGCAGAGTGGGGGCAATAATCCCAGAGAGCATTTCCAGGCAAAAGGGAGCATCTGTAGACTTTACACTAGTGTTTTGGGAGGTTCTCTGGTCATTCTTGTGTGTTGGAGGACAAACTATGTATCCCATAATCACATGTCCCATAAGGATTACAGGGGAGAGTATTGTTCCATCACATGTGATATGCCAATTTATGTCACCCTTGTTCTTGGACCACCAAGATGGTGGGAAATAGGGCCTCTTTGTCTTAGACAGCAAAGCATCTTGGGCTAGCCCTGATATATATAGAACTATATAGCAAACTATATAGTTTTTCTCCTATCTGATGCTTTTTCACTATGGCTTACTAACCTTTACATCTCTACATATCTCTTTGGCTGAATTAAAACTGCTTTCCCCCCTATAAACAGATCATATACTGAGATTCTTACCTGGTATCACAAACTAAATGTCTGCAAAGCATAATAGTACAAAATCAAGGGTGGGGTGGTCTTTTTCTTGGTCTCTTCTTGTTGTTTCTTCCTGCAACGACACAAAGACTACTGTGTATTCAGATATTTCCTTACATCTGTTTCCTCCATTATGAAAAAATCACATCTCATAGACTTGAATTTTCAGAGCAAAGCCAAACTGCAAGAAGCTAAGAGGTAGGGCCATCTTGAATAGGTTGAGACCCCAGTGAAAACACAAGTGTTTATTACCAGTAAATCTATGTTATAGGCCACAGCCACCAGGGGATGACTGCAGGCAGATTGGCATGGCTCTCACTGGATACTGCAGTGAGTGCCAGGAGGTCATCTGATTGACATTGGATTAAGCATTTTAGATTGACTATCTAAAAATCTTTAAACATTCCAAACCTTATGGATGACTTTTGTTTCCTTTGAGAGTCACCAATTTTCCAATTGATGTCAAAAACACATAAATAAACCATCAGTTCTGTAAGGTTCCTTCTAGTTCTATGTTCCATGTACCAAAAAACACATTCATAAATAGGGGTGGAGCAGGCTTGAGGAGCACAGAGAAGAAAGGAGGAGAGTTATAGGTTCCAAGAGTTGCCTGCTAATTGCACAACCACTGACTACAATCTACAAGTTGAGTATGTGCATGAAAACTAAAATTTCCTACATGCCAACTCTGCAAAACGCTGCACAGGCCACTGCTGAAATCTGGTATTCCACAATCTTTCCAATGTGGTTTGCTGCCAATAATGAATGGCAAATCACTAGCTCAAGCTAGTGCTGAAGAAGGAGGAGAGCAGAGAGCTCCATCACTCATAAAGCTAGTCACTGGCACATACCTCAGATCTGCACATCCCATCTGAGATATAGCAAATAGAAGCAATGACAGCCAGTGATTGTGTATACACTTCTAGTTGTGTTATCAGATGCCATTATGTGAGGAGGCTGTTTCCCAAATGGTTCAGGGTATCTTTGAAATCAAGCTCTTTGAAAAAGGTAGTAGTGACTACCAACATTGCTTCCACTGGGGTACAAATACTTGCTTATCATCCTTATACATGACAGGCCTTCAGGAAATAACTAGCTGAGAGTAAGCCATAACTAACAATTCAGGATATTTGACTACACCTGTAAGTTCATCTTCTTCCTTGGTATCTCATTGCAAGAGAGACTCAAAAGGTTTAGTTACAGAAAGTGATTCATCCATCTCACAATAGAGACATGAATGAAAAAGGCAAAGATGTTTTAATCACCAATGAATTGTTATTTTTGCTCTTCAACTTTCATATTGTATAATACAAACACAGTACAACTCTTGTATTTACTGTAAATACATTCCTAACTTTACATGGATACCAAATGAAATGAAGGACCTGTAGTTCAAAAATACCATAGTGATGCTCTGAAAATTGAGAAAATTCCTAAGGAGGATATATTTTGTTAAACATGAGTAAATGAAACTGTGGATACCAGTTCTACAGGTACAGGGTTGTATCATACCTGGTATCAATGAAATTTGGGTTTTTTAAGCAACTTGGATGTATCAGCCATATTTCAGCAAATCAGTGTAGTACTCCAAAACTCATGAGTGTCGAGAAAGGGATGTAAATTAGGCTAAGCACACTAAAATGCATGGGATCTAGGTTTACTTTGACTAATATTTCTCATTGATTTCAATTAAACTTCATTTCAGCTAACCTATGACTTGACTGCAGAAGGCAGGCAAATTGACACTGCAGCGCAACCTATATGATGGCTCTTATCACATGCCACTATGTGCATACCACTGCCAGTCTATATCCTCCCCATGATTTCTCCACACTAGGAATCGATGGTTAACAATGAGAAATGTTAGTAAAGCCCATCAATGGCTTCCAGTCTCACCACCTACATTGTTGTAATGGATTGCTTCTGCTTCTGTGCTCATGTGCAGCAGTAAAGCAATGTTGGCGGGGGGGGGGGGGAGGGATATTCCTCCACTTCCCCTCCTTCACTATTTTTAAGTTGGCTGATTTCCTTTTATTTGATTCTGTAGTTATATTTTCCTTGTGATTGTTTTAAAATTCTGCAATTACACTAAAATTGCACCACAAATAAAAACATTAAGAAACAACAGTAGTGTGTGGAAAGGCAGGGTTACAAGGATGTGTGGACTTATGATTGCAGAACCAGAAATTGGTGAATCAATGCAATTGTTCAATCAAAAAAAGAGGTACAACGTCATAGGTGCCAAATGTGGTATGTGATAGTGTGACTGTAGTGGAATGGCGGATTTGTGCAATAAAGCCTCAAATCAACCCACTGGGCTTCTGTGCTCAATTCTGCAAGGAAATGTGGTTGTTAAATTCTATAAATACAGCCTTATGACATTTTCCCATTTAACTGTGTTTTACTTGAATTTTCAGAAAATAATGAAGAGACTTATTAAGCGATACGTTCTGAAAGCTCAGGTGGATCGAGAGAATGATGAAGTGAATGAAGGCAAGTTCTTTAATATTTTAGAGTTATTGCTGTTAATTTTTCTATAGTGATGGGGTTTGTATTAACAGTTTCTATAGCAGTGATTTCAGTTTTCAGTTACATCACTGAAAGGTCATGATATTCTTTCTGGGGCATCCCCTCAGAGGACTGATGTAGAAACCTCTCAAATTCTGGGAAGCTGAAAAGGTCTCCATGGCATGTTTAATGCTGACAAGAAATTGGCCAGCTTCACATATGAGCTTTTTAGTTCCCCAGGGAAAAATACCTCCAAAAATCAAGAATTGCTAACTGAAGATTTTTTAAAGATGCTGGAGATATCCCTAATAATATTCACATTGCCATATGTTAATCTGTACTTTTACAGTAACCATCCCAGGCCTCAGTCCAATTGGAGCCTTACACACTCCATTAACTGTCTCACATCATGAACACAGAGAAGGTTGCTAATGGGATCAGTAAGCAAAAAAGCCTTCTATGCAAAAACACAGCAGACACAAGAGGGAGTGAAAATTTTATAAGAAGCACCTAAACTATATATTTAGGCATCCAGTACAGTTTATAAATTGTATAATATTTTGTTTTTAGGTGAACTCAAGGAGATTAAGCAAGACATTTCGAGTCTCCGCTATGAGCTTCTGGAAGAAAAGTCACAAGCAACCGGAGAGTTGGCAAGCCTAATACAGCAGCTGAGTGATAAGTTTGGAAAGAGTTTGAATAAAGACATTTGAGAAGGACAAATAAGGACAAAGGGGAAAAATATTATTCCAACCAGCATTTTAAAGGAGAAGAAATGGTTCAAGAAAAGAACATTGAGGATTACATTATGATTATTATGGAAAGCTGATTATTGATGATTTTATGGGGACTGTGCATTAGTTTGGTTTATTGGGTGAAGCCAATGATCAATTCCTTTATGATATAAAGGTGTTGGATTTTTTGTTATTAAATCAAGCCTTTTTGACATCAGAAATAGATGAATAATCTTGAAGAGACAAGCTTGGTTTTTCTAGATACCCAAAGTACTTTTTGAAAACTGGAAATAAGCCAGATGTTTCATTGTTATACATCAGCATACAACATGAGATCAGAAGCAGCAAAGTTAAGGAAAGAAGAACAAAAAATGTAGGGGAAGAGGGGCGGAAAGATGAGTGATAAATTTTAATTCATCGTGAAATCCATATATCATGTGTGTGCATTTGTGTCCCTTTATGTTCACTCTGGATACTGCAGTGAAAGCCAGGAGGTCATCAAGTCAAATTTCAATTCAGGACAGAATTACAGTTTTTATCTCTGGCCAAATGTATATGCCCCAACCAGTATTTGATGAGATGTATATGCCCCAACCAGTATTTGATGAGATGGAGCTATAGTCTTCCGTATCTGCCAGTTCTCTTCCCCCAATGAATTCTAGCCTATTACCCCACCCCACACACACACACACACACATATGCACATGCCAAACTGGCCTTTAGTTTCTGCCTGGCTACATAGTAGAAATGCTGAAAGAGCTCATCACGTGGATTCAAAAGCACAGAAAGCGTTAAGTATCTCTGTCTCATTAACTTACAGGTACAACCAGATTGGAGGGTCTTTGCACAATCCAGTTATTACTTTGATGTTGTACAACCCATGTGGGTTTCCAGTTAACTTTAGGGTGCATTCAAGTCAAAATAATAGATCAGTATAAATTAATATAGTAACCATGAAACCCATATCCAAGGTTTCACTTATCCATGCCTAGGAAAATATGGTCTCTCTTTGAATTTGTATGTCCTCCATGTGATTACTCTGATGCACCCAGCAAATTCCTAGAGATATTAGGACTGGAAGTTGGGTAATGTAATGGTTAAGTGTTGCCTGTTGCTACCAGCTTGCAATTCATGTTTTGCTAACTTAGGGGGAAAACAAATATCATTTTGACTGATATTGAAATGTAAAGGTTTGCAAGAAACTTACTTAATCTCCAAATTTCCTAAGAAATTCATTAACATCCTTAGATTGAAACAAAAACCTAAACAAAAGTGGCAGAAACTATGTTAAGTGGAAGGCAGTTACAATACAGTCCTTTCCATGCAGAGAATTCAATAGCTATTTGGATCTGTTTGGATCTGATGATTCCAAAATCCAAAAATTCCTTCCTCAATTTGAGAGAGAGAAAAACAAAGTTTAAAAAACACAATGTGGTGGCTTGGTGCTTGGGGGAAAGCTGGAGAAATGGGAAAAATATGGTATCAACAAGCTGTGCTGATATTTAAATGAATATCTTTTCTCTACAGTTCTCTTGGAGATTAAATATTATTGAGCTAGATGTTTAGAGAAGGATTCCACTGATACTGGTGCAATTATTGAGGATTCAAAGGGCTTGGTGTTCCCACTGAACTCTATCCAATAGCCACTTTGAGTCTACTTTGTGGACAGAAAAAGCAGGCTATAAATAAACATAATAATAATATAATATCATGTTGGGCTGGGAACAGAGAGACTGCCCCAGAAATTTCTGGCAATTAAAAAATTAATCTGACAGCCATAATGTGGATTTATGATTGGACAAGCAAAACATTGTAGCCAATTTAAAAGTCTTCCCTCAGACCTAGAAGCACTCTGCAGTATCTTAATGTATGTTTTTCAAATGCCATTTACAGTTTCAAAGGAGGTACACATTTAGCCTGTTTAAGCTTTACCACTAAGGAATCCTTTATGTATATTGGCAAATTGTCACATTTGGACACTGAGATTTGATAAATGGCAGAAAGCATTACATCACAGTGACTAATATATATGTACCAAACTCCAAGGAAAAAATGCAAGACTCAAAAGGATGCTCTCCAGCAAATTAATTCTGTGATAAAAACTAGATTCTCCTATTGTTGTCTATGAAATTTGAGATAGTTATGCATATGAATCACTCCATCATAATATTTTCAGACACTCTCTCATAATGAACAGTCCCCGAACAGCCCAGTGTTATGAAATACATGTATGTGTAGATATTATTTGTATCAAAGAAAAAATCTTTTTTTTTCACCCAGGAATCTGTGTTGTGTTCAAGAATTTTGCTCAGTAAATGAATGAAAAATTGTAGCTACAATTCTAAATGAATTAAGTTGGATCCCAGTTTAGCCACATGTAGGGTTGACCCCTTGAAATCATTGGGATTTAATCATTATTTTAAAGTCCCATTCATTTCAGCACTTGGTATATGGACTAAGGGCCCTTGTACACAGGTTGCAGGTTAACCTGAGGCACTGAAACACTGACTCAGGTTAATACGGATAAATCCAGAGTAAATTAGAATTTCCCAGTTTACTTTGGATTAATTAAACACCTGGAAAGATATGGATCCTACAGCAAGGGCTGGGCCTGTGGGGATTGACTTCCGGGACTGCCTTTCATGATCCTGAGAGTAAATCCCTATTGGCATCCTGGTTCTTCAAGCTCTAAGTGCCCAAATGAGTGGGATGGCACCCCCTTCCCTCCTAGCATCGCTGCATCTTCAGGCTTAAAGCTTCTGACACATCAAAATGATGCATTAGGAGTTTTGGAGAGGGGAGCTGAAATCCCCCCTCCCCTCTCCAAATCTTCTGATGTGTAATTTTTCCAAGAGGTCTGGAGATGCAGCCTAACCCATCTGGTAAGTTTTGGGGAAAACAGTGGGTTGTGTACTGGCTAGATGTCCACCCAGCATGTAGCCACCACCCCAGCAAAATCCTAGGGGGTGGTGTGGGGCCTCAAACCCATGAGGAACTGGGATATAAAATACCAGTTCCTCTTGGGATTTGGATCTGTCTAGAAGGGCCCTAAATCTTGGTCCTGCCCATAGTGCATTTACACTGTAGAATTAATGCAGTTTGATAGTACTTTGACTGCTATGGCTGAATTTGAAAAAATCATGAGATGCAGTTTTACAAGCTCTTTAGCCTTCTCTGCCAAAGAGTGTTTATGCCTCACCAACTACAAATGTCAGGACTCCATAGCCATGGCAGTAAGTGGTGTCAAACTGCATTATAGTGTTGATGCACTCTCAAAATAAGATGTAATGGCTCTGTGGGACTTTCTTAAAAATACACAAACTTATGACTGGGCTGATTATTAGTCTATTTCCAAGAAACAACTAAGCCTGAATTGTGGATCTTGAATAGAATGCCATAGAATAACACTGAGTGAATGAGATAATATGCCATTCAAGAATTTTGAATCTAGAACATCTCCATCTTGGTCAATACTCTTGATCATTTTAGGACATTCCAACACAATGTGAAATTTCTTAGCAAAAACCTTTGTTGCGCCTTGGTCAACTTTAGGGGAAATGTTTTTTTAAATAAAAAAAATTAAAACATTTCATGAAAACGTTTACAGGCCTCATAGTGCACTCTTCCACGTGGATGTTAGTATATGGATTAGTGCAACTGAAAATTCAGCTGTGTTTATTTGAGGAAAGAAATTTGGCTTCATCTGATCAAAGCACACCTTGCTACTATGGTACTAGAAAGTTGTACTATGTTTACAAGATGCACCTATATGACAACATTAAAGATCAGCTGATAATAGTGAGGAAAATGAACAAGAAGAAGCAGAAGGTGACCTGTGACCTGTTCTTAAGTGCCAGATGAGAACACAGATAGCCTAATAGATTAATAGTTTTATTTGTTTAAAAAAATAAAAATTAAAAAAAATGTACGGTAGATATAACTGTTTAGAGAAAAAATAAATCAAATAATGTATTTTTACCTTTAATAATTTTATCTTGTATACTGTAATATTTTTATTGAAAACAATGACAACAAAAATAAAATTACCTCAGACTAGCAATGTTTTTGTGAGATAATAATTTTCCTTCTTTTTCTTTTTTTAATTCAGCATACTCTGAAGCTTGTGCACATAAAAGTCTATAAGAACTTTGACAATGAGGTTATCCATGTTGTTAAAGATGCTCCTCCAATGTCCATGTGTTCAGTCCAGAAAGAGGAACTCAAATGCCTACTAATATAAGAATTGAAAGTTGGGTTGTGTCCTTTGTCCTCTTCTCCTTCCAGAGCAACCTGTAGGGTTTGACTTTTGGAAAAGGAATTCCATTGTGTACAGGATTGTCTTTTGAAGCAAAGTGAGAAACTTCACAAATCTTTCTAGCTAATTAGGGATAAATCCAATTCCACAAATACTGGATCCATATATTCAACCACTTACAGCTTGAAAAAATATAGTTGTTTTTTAATTCACTATCCCTAACCCTAACCCTAAACAAGCTTAAGCACATGCACAAATGTGTGTTATTTTAAAGAGTGGGCCCCACTGTTTAGCCATTTTACTCAACACACACTCATTATAGGCTTCAGAGGAGAGTTGTAGGAAGGATATATATCTCCATACATCTTAAGCAGATGGATGTCACGTTTCCTGAGCTGGCAAGTAGAGTGAATTTGACTTATCCTCCTATTTAAGTCAAATATATTAATTCCCAACTACTACCATGTGTACAGTTAATTTCTCTTCAAATTATTTCTTTTTTTTTAACCAGTGTTATCCCAGTGAGTTTCAGAGTTTGTGAGAAAAATTAAAATTGGAACTCCACCTTTGCAGATTGCAAGAGATCTTCAATTGAAATAGATCAATTCATTTTCCCACCCCTTAGTGCTTCAAGCCAATTACAGGGGATAAAGTAATTAAGGGAGTTCAACAGAAGAAGGAGAATGGAATGCTGCATATCAATTTTAAATTTCTGCCTCCCATTATGGAAAAAGTACTGCTAAGAAGAGGGGAACAAAGACTAGGAGGTTGTTGGAGCAAGAGGAAAAGGAGAAGCATAGAGAGAGAAAGTGAAAGAGACCGTAAAGAGACACATAAATAGCATACATGTCTATGTTGGCACCTCCAAGTTACCCAGGAATAAGTCCTAGCACCATACCTGAATATTTCCTTGACATTACGTCCTAAATTTTCCACTTTGCTCACAAGTAAAAGGTTTTGTCTTGCCAAAGGCAGTAAAAGTAACCTGGCCATCCTCCACCAATCTATTATTGCAGGAGTGGGTCCCATTGTCTAGTAATTAGGACTTGGGCCTTCAGAATGTATGAATGTCTTCTCCATTGGTGGTCTGCAGTAACCAACTTCTCCTAGAGGTTCCCCTATCCTAAGAAAGCCCTCCATCCCCCAAAATGATTTACATCTGGCTGCCTGTGAAACTGCTTTTGAAAAGTCTTTTTTAAAACAGACATATTCCCTCTGTTTTTTAACAGAACAGGTTTCATGCTATTTGTTGTCGACAGATATTTTAAAATATAATTAATTTTAACTGGATGATTTTGTGAACCACATAGTAGAAGTAGAAGAATATTTAATAATTTGTTTGATACAGAGTTTTGCTTTCTTTATATTTTATGCCACCATGGTCTTGAAAGGCTTCCAAGAAATATATAAATTACATAAGTGAATAAATTATGACTCCTTGAAAGATAAAACTTACACACCGGGGTTTTGGACAAATCTCAGCGGCCCCGCCATGCAGGAGATTGGCTGTGTCAGTGTAAACAAAGACAGTTAAGCAAAGAACAGGACAAACTCTTACTTTCCTCCTGTGGAAGAATGAAATGCAACTTTAGGCTGCTGTCATACAAACATTTACTTGAGAGGAAGTTCCTTTAAATTGCCTGATGTGTTTTACCATGGAAACATACAGAGTTGCATGTCAATACATTTATGCAAGTTTTCACATAAGAGACAAAATAATAGCTTGCTGCTGATAGAAAAAGTAAAATCTTCTGAACTAATTGTTTGTATAAAAATTACTCATCCATTCCTCTTCCTTGTCTGGGAAACCGGCTGTGTACAATGGAGGTGAAGATGAAGCAATTATTAATTATATTATTTTTATTTTGTTGATAATATAACCAGAGTGTTCCAATACATCATTAAGAAGTATAAAAAGCATAAAGAAGTCAGGGAGAAAGGAATAAATATTATCTTTTTAATTGCCGTGCAACTTGCAGTTGCTCTTACATTTGTCACCATGGGGTTCAGTTTGATGTCCAGTTCTTATTTATAAATCTGAATCAGCAACTTGCCAACTAGCCAGAAAAAAGAAAAAATTATGCCCAAAATCCTGCAACAAACCAGAAGCCTTGATATTGCAGCTGCAGTAAAGTTTTTCACCTGACCCCTAAAACCCACCTCAAAATGAGGAAGTCTATGCTTCTGTCAACCAAAACTGTGCAGGATTATATGACTACCCTTCACAAGAAAGATTGTAATGAAGAGCTGTTACAGAAGAGCTGTTACCTCTGTTCTCCTCACTATCACTCACTGGTGGAAATGGGCTGGATACATCAACTTGCAGTTCCCCACTCTGGCCGTAGCCAGAAAAAAATTTCTGGAGGGGTTGAAAATTTTTTTGAGGGGGGGTGGTTTGAAAATTTCACGGGGGGTTGAAACCTGCCTCCTAGCTCACGCTGAAGCAAAGAGCACAGCAGGGGGCAGAGCAGCCTTCAATAGCCTGCAGCTCCGCCCCTGTCAACCACCTCCACCAAGTCTGGCCTCCTTAATGAGAGCATTCAACACCCCTCCCCCCCACCACCACTTGGTTGCTTCACTACATCGGCTATTGCGTCTCATAGACTTAGCATGGGGATTTGGTTAACCAGTTAAAATTCATGAGTAAACCAGTTTTTTTTTAACCTGAAAAAATTCGGGGGGGGGGGGTTGAACCCCTAACCCCCGGCTACAGGCCTGATGGCAATAATGCCATAATCACAAATTAGAATATCAAGCAGCTATGATGTCTGTAGGCAAACTTAGGATGATGCAACTGGTATCTTGTCAAATATATCAGCCATTATACTTATTGTTGTCCAAAGTCCTCCTGAAAAGAGCACCAATCCACCCCTCCCTTATATTTGCTAGGAATTGGGATGCCTGAGTTGAATACACATTTTTTTGTTTGTACATGACTGCCAAACAGTTGTTTCTTGTACTTTTAATTCCAAATTCAAGCTTAGCTGCTGCTCGGAAAAGTTGGGTAGCCACAAAAAACACTGTCAGTTGGAGATAGGGGGATATTTTCCCTCACGCCTGATGGCAGGCAACAAAGCTCTGGTTTCCTGCCTATTTCCATCCTTGCCAGAAGTGGATAATCATAAGATGAGACAAATTCCGTCCAATGAAGATACACTGCAGACAGAAAGCGAGAGGGTGCTGCTGAAACAAAGAGGGATTTGTAACACCCATCTGCCTGTGTCCCACCTATGCCAGCCCAGTGTGCCTTATCAAAGCTTCTGCTTTCTGACAGTTCTGGCACAGCAGATACACAAATTACTACTTAAATCAATAATATAAGAAAGTTCTGGAACCAAAGCAAGCTGGTAATCATGCCCTGGGTGACATCTTGCCAGTCAGTCCCAACTAGAGCAGATCCATGCTATCAGTTATTGAACACTGAGTCAACACAGAGGCAAATTTCATGAAATCAATACATTTATTCTCATTTGGACTAACAACCTGATTTAAGCCCCTGTGTCCAGATGTTGTTGCTGATTCTCATGCCATTGGGGCAATGAATCCACTCAGCACTTTAGACCTCGCTTTTAAGAACTCTTCAAAGTGTCAAAATGATTTTTGGGATAGGGTTTAGCACTTTATGTAATCCCTTTAAAATTCAAATTAAAACCAGAACAGATTCACTGCCACCATGACCATGGTCTTTGCTCTGGGAGCCCAATAGCCACCCCTGTAAGTAAAAACTGACTGTAGTTGCACAAGCAATTGAGGTAGGACCTTCTGTCCATGTTTAGAGATATCTTCTTATTATCTATGTTCTAGGACTGGATTGTGGTTGCACAAATACCCCTCAAGTGTAGCAAGATGGCCCTCTGTCAAGTCACAGAGCTTGAGATGTTACCTTTAAAAGGTGATTTGCAAAACTAGGACTTCTGGTTTCTAGTGTCAATGTGTATTATTATTATTATTATTATTATTATTATTATTATTATTATTATTGCTACCCATCACATGATAGAAAAGAAAGCTTTCTGCATTCTTTGCTACGTTCTTGTCCTTTGCTTCCTAAAAAAATCTTGGATTTTATGAGAGAATGGAATCCTGCTAAAATACTTCTAAAACTGGCATTTAAAAATAACTTAAGCGTAGCTTGAAAAAATGTATAGGACAAACTATGAAAAGGAATTAGAAAATGCTATTGGAAATACCAGTAAGTAACTTCCAGAGATGACTAATAACTCTCATATCAGCAGGGTGGCAAATCCAGTGCAGCTGCTGCCTGAATGTTAAAGGAGCTACCCAAAAGAATCCCAATGAATATGCTAGAAGAAAAGGACAAAATGGTACCACTGACAATTCATCGAATCATACAATCATACAGGCGGAAAAAGCCACATGGGGCATCTAATCCAACCCCCTGTCATGCAGGAAAAGCACAATCAAAGCACTCCCAACAGAGGGCCGTCTAGGCTCTGTTCCACATATACAATCTAACTTGGCCAAAGTATGTGAATGCAGTAAATTAGTACAATGGGGTACATAAAAAACTGAAATTCCCCTAAATGTTTCAAAACACTACTTTATTCATGAGATTTTGAGTTTTTTTATCTGAGCTTACTGGGAGTGAATTGAAATAAATTAAAAAGAAATGTCCACTCCAACACCAACACCAAGCCACTAACTTTCTTAACCTTCTGGCTTCTTCACATTTTAATCTTAAGGGCTTCACCTTGAGGTAATCTTTCCTTAAAGCTGTGGTTACTAAATTTTGTATTTTAGACACAGATTTCTGGCAATATAAGGCACTGTGAAGAAGAAAGCTTGG